CATTCGTAACCCGAGGTTCCACTGTACTCTCAAAGCAGAGAAAAATGAAAAATGACATGTACCTCCCAAAACAGCTAGCAAAAAGCCAATCCTCTAAATATGGCACAGTTGTTATTCTGGCTCTTTTTCCAGGTATAATTTATTCACAAATTAATACACTTTACAAGTTTAGTTCTTTGTCTCACAGCTCTACTTCCAAGTACTGTTGTTTGGAGGAAATGAAGATGATTAATTTCTTACTGAATACATCAGAGTTTTCTAGTTTTCATCATGCTTTCAGTTCTACAATAAGTTTCCTACAGTTTTTTCTTGGGCTCTTTATGTTTCCCCTATGCATATGCTGCATTGAGCACTCCTACGCTCAGCTTATACCATATGCTCCCAAGTGAGCCTAGAGGAAGCTGCAGAAGATCAACCAGCTGAAAATCAGAAGATTACAGTTTTAATAACCTGTCTCTGCAAGAACAACATGTCCAAGTGTCTGTTTTTCTTTAAAGAAAACATGCAGCTACATGGCAAGACACTCATAAAACTCAAGAATTACATCAGGGGTAAGGACGCTGTCTAACCATGGCTAAAGTACAAACATTACAGAGCAATATTCATACATTCCCATGGTTTTAATTTCCATGATTTGTAATTTCAGCAGATAAATTTTAAGCTGAGCAAGAACTGAAGAGCTGGCATGTTCCCTTTGAGTGCCAGCTTCAATCTTCTCTCAGGCATGTGAGATATCCTTTTTGATAACACTTTAGTTACGTAAGGTTGCAACTTCTATCATCGCCAATTGGCTGAAGCCACTTATAATAATAGCCTGATATATTAAGAGGGTATCTGATTGAGGAAGCTGGAATAAACAATACTGAGCTAGATAGACCAGTGGCTGAATCAGTGGAACAGAAGAAATCTAGTGTGATGGTTAAGGTATTGTTCTGGGATCAGCGAAACCCAGGTTCAAGTCAAGAAGCTCACTGGGTAACACTGAGCTAATCACTGTTTTCAGCCCAATCTGCCCCTCAGGGTTGCTGCTGTGAGGAAGAGCTCCAAGAGGAATGGCAGGACATAAAAGTAGCATCAGGTTTTATAATACGATGAAGAAAAGAAGAAAGCAGCATTCTGTGTTTCTATCAATAGGGAAAAATTCTACTAAAACCTTCAGTACAGTTCATACAATGAAGAGCAAATATTAAAAATATCCTAAGCATATTTGGGTTAAACCACCAGGATATTTTTCAGGTTCAGAATATTTTTTAGCTATGAAATTCTGCATCCACTTCAGTAACATGTTTAATGCTTGTTAAATGGGATATCAGGAAGCTGCCATCCACTAATTCCTATCAAATTACATTCTTATGCTCACACTATGTAGATCTTGAATTATAGCTTCACAGTTCATTTTACATCATTGTCCTTAAAAACTATTCCTAAGCAAAAAATAAATAAATAAATAAATAATGCTACAGAAAGTACCATAAGATAGTAAAGAGTAATGAGTCAGATCAAGTTTACAATATAAAGGAACATATATTTTGACTTTCACATTTAAGTCTCTTTTGCATGGAGTATTTGTTAATAATTCAGTTGCCCTTATGGACACAAACAACCCCTATAATAACTAGCAGCGATTGGACCTCACCCATTTCATTTAATTATTTTTCAATTACCATACAAGATAAATGGAAAATAGTTTTTACTTCAGCAAAGCAAAATTAATGTAGTCATTAAAAAACTATTACCTTTATGACCTCATTATCCAGCAACCAAATATTCACCTTGCGTATTAAGGAAACAGATGTCTCATATGGCGTTAAACTGATGATAGCCAGAAGCGAAGGTTAATATATATTTACAATCCCTGATAGGAATTCCATGTTGCTCATAAATTATGCTGGTTTATTCAATTCTGTGCTTATGGCAATGGAAACTTTTGTTGTGTCACATTTGATCTTAGCCAAAAGGCCAAGGAGCGAAAGCTGCCTCATACCACTCACTGCATTATTTCCATTAACCTTAAAGCACAAGACTTTCTAAAAAGTACTAAATGAACAGATTTTGAAGTATAGCTCACTGCATAATGCTCCAATAACCAAAGAATGTATCTGAGAAAAAAAAATATTTACCTCACTCATGCTAAATGATCCTAAGGATGCACTCCACCCTTCAAGGCAAATCACTATTATTTCTACCTTACTTGTTATAAAAATGAGAATAAAGGATATAAAGCTTCAGTAGGCAAGTTGTCCCTCAGTGATGATTTGAAAATAAACCTTATACACTTCAAGCCAGATATGTCTGGTTTTCATAATATACTGAAACATTGAATAATTGCTTTTTAAAAATGCTACTAGCTTAAAACCCCCAAATCTTTAAAATAATTATCAAAAGATGTAAGAGAATTTGATTTCTATAGTACTTATTAAGCTTCTACACCGTGTTTCATCCTGCATTTTCACTTTTGTGTTAAAACTAGTTCAATCAGCTACATGGGCGTAATATGTTAGAAATCTGCTTGAATATGGGATAAAATCTCCATGAAAAATATTCAAAAACAACCTAGACTTTGGTGCACTGAGGATCCTTGACACTAGACAGAATATTTACCCAATAATATCCACAATATGAGCCAGAACACACATGCAGGCCTGAAAGAAATTAACACAAACTATGAGTTTAACATATCCACCATGGAAGGGACTGCCTGCCTGTTGCCTTTCTGCATGAGTGACCATTTTGGCCCTTACCTCTTTGTAGCCAACTTCTACTGAAGAGAGATCTGCCCATTTCTGCAGCAGAGGTCACCAGAGCATTCAAGCACTTTCAGTGCAAAAATGCAAATAGAACTACTGTTCTGCAGAGATGGCTGCTTGGTGCAGCTTTGCAAAAGTCATTTTGTTTCGGCTTGCCTTCTACTTAAGAGACACGCAAAATAAGTAATTTAGTCAGATACACAAAGTAGGTAATTGCTATTTAGCCTCACTCTAAAACTGGGATGGGTAACCTGTGTGGTTCATAGGCTACATGTAGTCCCCGGATCCTTGTTATGGCTCTACAGACTCCTGCTCCCACTTTCAAAATTTGGCTGCAATCCCTACAAAATTCAGCAGTGTGGTTGTCCAGATTAAAAAAAAAAACAAGCAAAATAAGCTTAATATTTTTATTTTACAATCGTCCCAACACAAACAAGAGGCCAACATTTTCAGCCCTACTACCTCCAAAGCCACGTAAGGGCACATTTCTTGGCCAATTCTTTCTCATGCAGAAGTTATGTAAGGAGAACAAGTGGGATAAGAATAGTCCCTGCCAGTTCCCTGTGTAAAAATAAATCCAGTGTCCAGGAATTTTAGCCTCTCACAAAACTGAAGCATTTATTTTGAACATGGAATGATAAATATCAATAAATCCAGTTATGCAAGTACAATATCTATAAGGTCAAATGAATGTTAGGGTTGAACTCTGTAGCCACACAACGGTCATATTCACATGGTACAGTAATCCACAAAGTTGTATGCCCACAAACTCTTTTTCCAGGGCATCAGAGTTATCAAACCGGCTGTCTGTAGTTTGCTTACTGTTAAATTATTGTGCTAACAAGACAGATGCAGCTACAGCTGATACTTATGGCTAGAAGTACTGTACATCCTGTCTTTAGACAACTTGCTTAACTATAAACAAACAATATATGGGTGTTTCTGTATCTGGGCCATGTAGAAGGGTGGGGGAGGAGGAGTCAGCTAAGCCTTACAGATCACTGTGTATGTGGCCATGGTTTTCTTTCGCTTTTAATATGCTTTTCAGTAAATGTTCTGCCATCAAATGCCATTTTTGTAAATATGCAAACCAAGCAAGCTGTCCAACGCTGTTTAGCTTAATCCATCTTTTCAATGACACCTTGTCCCCCCAGCCCCCCCAAAAGAAAGGAAGAAATCAATCCTTCCACTATTGATAAAAAAACAGTATTATGTTATACTTCAGGTTAATTCATTTATCATGGTTGCATGTTACAAAATATATGTGGATTTTTCCACCTACTCTAGAGATAGGCCTGGGAGACTTCCCTCATTCTTTCTGGAGAGACATGCATAGCGGAAAAATTACACTCAAATCACAGAGTAATTCTATACAAAACGGCTTGCTCTTTAATCCTTTTGGATCAGTTACTGTTTAAACCTTGCAAAATCACACTTACTTTTAGATCCCATGGGAGTGATTTAGAAATTGCTTTGAATAACTACCTTACTTCTGAACTTCAAATACCACACAGTGCACTTCACAGGGAGGAAAGTTGCCTCTTGCAGAGACAAAGAACACATGTATATATAAAAGACAGTTTTACTCAATTTTACCCAAAAGAAAAGCGATACTGAATTTAAGACACACACACCTTAGGCACCGCCCCCCCCCATTGTTTGCATCTGTCACCCTCTTCTCAGTGAACTAAAGATAACTTTCTCATTGTAAAGGCAAATTAACTTGGGAAAAACAATTAAGGACAACCTGTCTGAAACAGCAAATACGGTACTACTTTTCTACATGGATATCCATACCTCAACTTAGAATATGTATTTTTGGAAGGCAGTGGTAAACAGAAATTCCTGTAAGATTAATTATACCTTTGCAATATCATGATAAATTCATAACATCTTGACCCAGAAAGTTTTCTTAGCACTGTGTACGTGTGTGCTTTTGAGTCACTGTTGACTCCTAGAGACTGCCTAGATTAGCTCCCCTATTTGTTAGCTAATAGGTTGAAAAATGTTATTATAGCATTGCATGAATCACTATCAAGATTATTCAGAGGATTATATAGTTATGGCTTGCTTTTGTATAATATCCACAACTTTAATTTCTGATATACCTAATTTTATATATACACTCATGAACACGTATCCAAGCTTTTCAAGCGTAGCAAAATATTCTCTCTCTCCCCTCCCCCTCCCATAATATTAACTAGCTTAGTTCTACATGTTGCTTTGGAAAACTAGTGCTGATAATCTAAATAAGCATCATAATGCTTAGCATACTGTGCCGCAATTTTCAAAAAATGATATTCATTTTGAAAACAAAATATGTTTAAACGTGTTCATTTGGCTGAAATAGTTGAATTGAACTAGGTTATAATAGTACAAGAGTATTTAAAAATTAACCTTTAACTACAATGTATTTATTTATTACATTTATATTCTACCTTTAATCTAGGAGCTCAAACAGCATACATATTGCACTGTCCTCCTACTTTTTTCCCCAAAACAACAGTGGGATAGAGTGGGCAGAGAGAGAGTAACTCGCCCAAAGTTCCTCAGTGTGCTTTAGTGGCTGAGAGTGAACTAAAACCCAGGTCTCCCCATTACTGGTGCAACACCTTAATCATCACACCACATTGTGCTATGTTCCTCTATATGAGTGATAAGTAAGGTCCTAATACATGATTGCTATATAAAACCTGTATGTAAAATACGTATTATTTAAGTTAGTCTTCAATACCTACCTGCACTGGCTCCTCCAAAACCCCACTGCAGATGGGGCAAATAAGATCTTCATCAACATCCCCTTGAAAACGTGCTACATCATACCCCATTTCTCATTACCAATGCCAAAACGCTAGGAAAAAGGGAGAAGGAAGAAAGAATATGTTTAATCCAGAGAACATGTGGATCTTCATCACAAGAAACATTATGTATATATTTCAAAATGTTGTTTGGGTGCAGTTAAATATTCTTCTAACCAGCTTGCTTGCCTACTAACCTGATATGGCTGCATGCCAAGCCACAGATTCACAGATAAGCTCCAAGTTTATAAGGAGCAGGATGTGGCAAAACAGAGAAAGAACAACTTGACCCAGCCCCATTTCTCTGAGATTAATTCTCCACAGTTTTACCAGGCTATTACCACCAGTTTAGTCACTTTCCTCCATAGTATGTTGTTACTCATTTCTTCACTTGCATTTTTATATATTCCACTCTCTTCTATTTCTGCAGCAACCTGAATATATAGCATCAAGTCCCTAGGCTTTAGAACAAATGACAGCGTAAATACTAAATGGAGGGGGGAGTTCTGTAACTCTGAAATTAAAACATCTAATGGTGGATCAAGGTATTTCTTGCTACCAGCTTGCTGAAAGAAATAATTAAGTAAAGCTACTTCTGATGTCAGAGAGTGAAATAATCTGATACATCTTTGCTCAGGTGAGACTAGATCGCTCACTCCTCAAATGTATACACAGCATATTTTCCCCAGATTGCTATTTGGAAGATAGCACACTCTATCTCGCAACCATTTCTTCATTGTTTCATACAGCACTACAGCACACAATCCAGGAGTGACTACCTTAGGAATCCTTCAGGGAGCAGACCATGTACTCTTAAGGCCAATAATATAGCATAAACTAATCAAGCCCATCTTACCTCTTGAAAACAGATAAACAGAATAAGAAGCACAAAGGGGTTTAGTTTTATATAATGCTGAATCAGAAACTGCCTTACTCTGAATCAAACTATAATCCATCTAGCTCAGAACTCTCTATGCTGAATGATAATACAAATCCAACATTTAATTTAAATCAAATGTCTATCTGGAGATGACAGAACTGAACCTGGACTCTTTGCATGAACAGACGCTCTATCACTAAGTTGCAAGCCTTGTTCATTGTTAGCAAACTAACTAGACCAAAGTTGTCAGACAACAAAATGGACTTCCCTAGAAAACGTCGGGGAGAACATGAGAATCTTTCTGATCATTCTACTACATCCCCAAGGTAAGCTTCCCAAAACAGATTTTCTAAATCTCTGATACTTTCAACTTCACCTATCAGTATATCACTGAATTATAAATTATCTATAGTTGTGGTGAATTCCCCTGGTTTATTCTGAGTTAGGAAAAAAATCAGCTTCAACCATGCACCTTTGTAGAGTTAATGACATATGTAGCTGCATCTGTCAGCTTCTTTATTTTCCCAAGGAAAATAGAGAGATGAAAATTATACAGATTTTCCCAAGGCTATTTCTAGCAGCTTGCAAGAGTACATCGGAAGTAGGCTTTACTCATTCTGTTAGGACTAACTTCCAGGACAAAAGTTGCTGTGCTCAACACTGGAAGTAAAAGGCAGCTTGCTAGATACACATCTATGTTTGAATTATGACATCAAAGAACTAGAGGTGACTGACTCCCCTTTATTCATCTGCAAAATGGCATATGATTGGTCAAGATGGCTTGTGTTTATGGTTCTAAACCAGTGTGGCATATACTTTACCTAACAATAATTCAAGCATAGAATCATAAGCACAACAAAACTAATATTCTATGATGGATACAATATTGTGTTCTTAAGACCTCAACACATCTCTGATTGTGCAGATGGAAAAAGCTAGTCAGCAAAGAATAGAAAGCAAATAGTAAATATAGTCCATGTTGCCAATTTAATAATTGAAAATCAGAAATAATGAATTCAGTCTGCATATCAATGCACATTATTTTTATTATATCTTGTATTAAGAAGGCACATTCTCAATATAATCATTGTAGCTGCATGTTTCCCCCCCAATTTTGTGCCAAAAAGGCCCTATATTTGCTAATCAGAATAGAAGCTGTCGAAAGTAAAGGAATAATAAGAGGTGCAAATATCTACAGGCCTTTCTTACTGAAAAGTTGGGACATTTTTGACTAGCTTGGGAACGTCCATTTAATCCCTTTTTCTAACATCTCAACAGGATTTATCTTTCTCTATTCAGTCACCTCTTCCCTTCACTTCCGCTGTCCTCCCCTTTTTCTTTCCTTCCTTCCCCAGTATACTCCATCCTGCCTTTTCCCCTTCTTTTTTGGTATGTCTGCTAGAAGGAAGGAGAAGAGTGTGCATGTATTTGCATGTGCATAATTCGTGGGTGAAAGAAAATGGTTAGTATCTGCAGACGGAGGATCAATTCAGTTTATAAAATGGTTACTTTAATTTTCACTTCAGCAATACATGGAAGGAGAACTGCTACATGCACAAGCTGGATTTGCAAGAAGGAGAGATACTGGAGTGTATATCGTCAACTTCCAATGAACAATGAGAAAGGCACAGGAATTCCAAAATGTCTGTTTTTGATTTCTTGATCATACAAAAGCTTTTGACTTGGTAGATCACAACAAACTCTAGATAGTCCTTTAAAACTTGGGTGTCCTGGTTATGTCATCTGCCTATTGAAGTATACGTATAATGACCAGATAGCAATAGTTAGAATAGAATATGGAGCAACCAAATAATTCAGAATTGACAAAGGAATGCATCAAGGTTGCATACTGTCACTCTACAAATTTAAACTTATATGCAGGATATAACATGAAAAATGCTACACTAAAAGAAATAGGAATTGGAATTAAAATTGCTGGAAGAAACATCACTACCTCAGATATGCTGATGATACCACTTTGGCCACTAGAAGGGGGAAAGGGAAAGATTTTACCAGAGCTCCTTGTTGAAGATGGAAAAGAAGAGTGCAAAAAAGAGTTTGCTGCTCAATATTAACTCACCCCCACCCCAATATTAAATGAACAGGCAATACCAGACCAATGCAAATAGGTGAAGAAGGAGTTGAAGCAATAACAGGCTTATCTTCCTAGGCTCAAAGATTCACAGGAATGGTGACTGCAGCATATGGCTCTTTATCAGATGGGGGAAAGCCTAGGAAAGTTCTAGATAAAATATTAAAGCACAGAAATATTATACTGATAGGAAAGGTATGCAATGTCAAGGGCCTGGTTTTTCCAGTTGTAACATATAGCTGTGAAAGCTGGACCATCAGAAAGGTGAAATTTAAAAAAAAGGGATGCCTCTGAATTATAGTGCTAGAGAACACTCTTAAAAATTCCTCAGACTACAGGAAGAACAAATCTTTCAATAATGGATGAGGTAAATCCAGACTGGTTATTGGAACCTCTAATAATGAATCTAGAGTTTAAATATTTTCGACACATAATGCAAAGGCAAGAATCACTGCAGAAGACCCAGACACGTGGAAAAATCAAAGGAATCAAACAAGTGTCCTTCAGAAGGCAACTAGCTAGAAACTACAGGTAGACTTCATTTAGCTATCACAATTGGGACCGGCAACTCAGTTATTAAGCAAAGCAGTTGCTAAGTGAAACCACAACTGTGCTTAAAATCTTATTTCAGCTTTCCGTTGCTTTACAGATCTGCGAAGGTCATAAATGCAAGGATTGGTTCCAAAGTTACGTTTTCATCACCATTGTATCTCTGAATGGTCACTGTCCAAGGCAGTTGCTAAGCGAGGATTACCTGAATCACTACAAAACACAAGCATGAGCTTACAAGAACTCAAGGGTTCCTGACAAGACAATCCTGGAGAAATGATAACTATGAGATCACAGAGAAGCAGAATTGAACAGCTGAACAATATATATTAATTTATAGGTAACTAATTTTAATCTGTTGTTATTATTCTACCCTTGCCCTTTTGGGGAGTGTGGCTTCTGGTAAATACATATTTACAAGTGAGTCACATGCATATCTTTATGGGGAAAGACAAATTTCCAGGATTCCTTTCAGATGACATAGGCCAGTCTACACATTGTCAAGACTGGGAAGATGGGCATTGCATATTATTATGCTTTTAATTTTTTCCTCCTGTCTGCTCTTTTTTTGTGTATGAAGAGGTTGTCTTAAATTCAGCTTACCTTCCTTTTGGACAAATATGTTACTGATCAAATACAGTATTTGGGACAACTTTTCACTAATTATTTTATACAGCATAAAATCAATGTTGAAAAAAAATCAGCCTGGATGTTCACTTTGAACGGGGAATAGAGAAAAAGACACGTACAATCAACACCACTGAACTCTAGAATACAAATCATAGTCAGCCTATTCTGTCTAGAACAATCTGTTTGAAAAGCAGATAGCAGCTGTCCAAATTATTAGATGCTCACAAGTTTTGCAAAGAACATCCAGATGAATCATGTCTGAAAGGAAAAGGACACCTATGGATTTTTCACTGAACTGCAAGCATCAAGACCAAATCTCAATTTAAAAGTATTCCCATATTAACTATTCTAATTTATAAAGGCGGAGCCACCTCCTGCCCAGTTGTGCTCATGCTGCAGCAGTCACTTACCTGCTTGCTGGCCTGCTTGCAAGCTGCCTGGGACTTGTGATTTCCTGCTGGCTTCCCCATTGATTTTGCTTGTTAGAAGCCAGCAGGAAATTGTGGAGGTCCTCACTTAACGACCTGCGATCCTCACTTCACGACAGTAACTGGGGACTGCTGGGATTGCTGTCACTAAGCGATGCAGTCATTGGATGTCATGCTTTATGACTGCATCACTTAGTGACAGAAATTCTGATTCCAATTACTCATCGTTAAGAAAGGACTGCCTGTGGCCTTGCAGAAGCAGCTGCCTTAATGATATCAAAGAGAAGGATTTCTTTCATACTAAGATA